GGGCGCGGCGACGCGCGCCGGGCCGCGCAGTGAGGGGCAGCCGCGCCCGCCGGCGCGCGGCGCCCGCCGTAGATGGAGCGGGCCGAAGGCCGTGCCCCGCGCTTGCCGCATGCGGCCGCGCCACCCAGGGGGTGGCTCACGCACCTCTCGAGCAGCGAGAGGCGGCGCGGGTTCACTGCCTCCCCGTGGTAGTGCTCGAAACTGCCCAGGAGCATGTACTTGTGCTGGAGCCCAGGATCCGGGCAGCAAGGGGTGGGCAGGGATGGGGCGGGGTGTTGTTTGTTGTAGGTTCACGCGGCAGGCAGGGGGAAGGGCAGGCGGGCCCCGTCTTCCTGGATACAGTCCACACCTTTGTTTGTCACACTTGTGTTTGTGGAGGGAGGTGCATGCGTGGGGCAGCAGGCAATCAAACCCTGCTTACGCCCAGCCATCGAACGCGTCGGGCACATCAGGCAGAGCCTGCATGGCAGGGAATACAGGCACGTGCGGCGGGCGATGCTCGATTCGCAGGCGCTGATTTTCGTGCGCTCGGGAGCGGCTGCGGCCACCTCTCACTCCCTCACCGCCCGGTCGAGCTCGTCCAGGGTGAGGGTTGAGGGATCGGGCAGGAGCACGAGGGTGACTAGGGCACCGGCCAGGCTGGCTGCCGCAGACAGGAGGAAGGTGGTCTGGACGCTGCAATGTGGTGCGTGGAAGGGAGGGAGAGAGAGAGTGTGTGTAAGTGAGTGTGATAGTGTGTGTGCACGTGTGAGTGTGAGTATGAGTGTGTTTGCGTATGTGTGTGTGTGTGTTTGTGTGTGTGTGTTTGTGCGTGTGCGTGCGTGTGTGCGTGTGTCCTTGTTTTACCACGTCAGCTGTATGTGTGAATGGTTAGATCCCCCCCCCAAAAAAACCGCACCTCACGTAGCCGAAGACGACGTTGGCCGCCAGCGCCCCGACCTTGCCCAGGGCCGAGCTGACGCCGTGGAAGGTGGTGCGCACGTCGGTGGGGAACACCTCCGCCGCCGCCAGGGAGTTGGTGCTGGAGGGGGTTTGGAGCGGCAGCGGAGGGGGGTGGAGCATTCGAGTTGGAGGGTCTGTAGAGACGGCACGCAAGTGGGGCTCCTCACTGGGCGGATTGGGGGCGTGGAGGAGGGGAGGCTGGTCATGGGGTCCGCTGCTCACAAAGGACTGACGACACGGCCACCCCTGCCTAGTTTGACATGGGTTGACCGCCACGCACCAGTTGGGGCCAAACTGGCAGAAGAAGCCGGACAGGAAGTAGAGGGTCTGGCCAGGAGACGGAGAGAAGGGGGGCAAAGGAAGGGGCCAAGAAACGGGCGAGCGGTCGGGCGGTGACATGAGGAACGGCGAGGAGCGTGAGTGGTTCCTACGTAGCAGCAGCCGCGGCGCTCGACGACTCCATGCGCCGTCGGTGTCAAGCGGCCGCTCAGGGCCCACAAGCACAGGCGGCTCGGCGGCCGTCAAATGGGTGCGGGCTGCTGCAGTAGGGAGTAGATGACAGCAGGCCGGGGTGCGGCCGGCCCTGCGATCCCCACGCAGATGCGTCCGGGCGCCAACAGACACCGCAGACCTGGAACACCCTGTAACCGGCGGGGCTGGAGGTAAGGGCGGGGTAGCCGGCGCCGCACGCCAGGAAGCACACACCCGTTGCACTCAAACCAAACAGCTGGTGCAAACGGGCGGGGGGGGGGGGGAGGCGCGAGGGGTCGGCGGCGGCGGCGGCAGGAAGCCTGTAGGGGCAGCCGAGCTGTAAATCACGCCATGGCCGACGGCCATGGAATTGCAAATGATGCATTCGTTCGTTGTATCTGTTTTTATTCGTTCCCCTTGGACCTTCCTACAACTCTGTGTCAAGGCGGGTGTGTGGGACCGGTCAACAACAGCAACAAAAAAATCCATCCACCTGCAGGTTGCGGCGGCCGTATCTCGGGCTGTCCACCACCGCCGCCGCGGCCCAGTAGCCCAGCAGCCCTATGGCGTTGTTGAGGGCCGCCCACTGCATGCGCTCAAACGGCGTGGCCTGCGGGATGCGCGCGTGTAAATGGATGAGTGCGGATGCAGGGTGCCTGTCGCGCAACCAACGCGTGTCACCTTGGCAGCCAAGGAGGGACGCGCTGGGAAAGTGCAACGTGCTGGGAGCCTGCTGCGATCGAAGAACGCAGCGTCGGTGATAAAGCTTCATGGCTGTGCGTGGGCAACCGTTTGCTGTGTGCATTGCGGACCCCGATTGGGTTGGGTGGGTGCAGGGTCCTTCGAGGTTGCCAGGCCACATACTGCCACTCAAGTAGGTGGGATGCACCCGGTCCGGCGCCAGCGGCACGCATGCAGCCGGCGCGGCGCCAGCTGTCTGCTTTGACAATCGAGTTTAATACGCTCCCGCCCACATTGAGTCCGCGGGGCACCACCATGGAACCCGACCAGAACCCTGAGCCAGTGCCAAGCCGACCGGTGCTCATGCTAAACCCTGCCGGCTAAACCCTGTCGGCTAAACCCTGGTCTCACGTCAGGGTACAGGGTCGCGATGAAGCTGAACAGGAAGAGCTTGTTGCCATAGAACGCAAAGTTCGAGGCCGCCCACGCGGTCGACGTGCCCACCAGCCGCGGGCCGAACCACTTGAGGGCGGTGGTGTAGAGCAGACGCCGCTGCGGGGGCGGGGGTTTTGGGGAGACAGTTGTCGGGATGGGGACAGGCCGGCGTGCCAGGAGATTTGGCGTGTGAGTGCTCGTGTGGATTACGCTTGTGTTTGTGTGTGTGTGTGTGTGTGTGTGTGTGTGTGTGTGTGGACGCGCGCACACACACACGCCTGCGCAAGGTAAGGAGAGCTGCATCTGCACAACAATTGTTACCCTCAGCTGCAATTGCGCAGCCCGACTTGAATAGTTGGTGCGATCAAGGCAGAAGGAAGGTGCATCAATGCGCGCACGCCTGCCAGGTCAGCGCGTCACTAGGCTGCAGCTGTGCCCGTCGCACCTGGCGGTGCCCAACGTTCGTTGCAATGTCTTCTGCATCCTCCCTCTCTGCCCTCCACACCTGTGTGACATGTGTAGGGAGGCGCGAACGAGGGGGTTGGGCAAGCGCATGCGCGGGTGTTTGCGTGTATCGACGCGAAAGCCAGGGGAGGGAGCCTCAACAGATGACCAAAGCCTTGGAAAAGATTCATAGTCAAACTGCATACGATGCGACGCGGCGGCTCAGCGATTGCGTGGCCCTTGCCTCGGACTCCTTGAGCTTCGTGAAGCGCCAGACAGTCATGAAGATGGCCACCGCCACCGCCGCCGCGAACTGGGGGATCAAAGGGGGGTTGGTGGTAGGGGGGTTTGAGGGAGGTGGGTGCGTGTGTCCTGGACTCGATGGAACGAGTTCAACGAGTTGGAATTGTTGGGGCGACGCGTGATAACGTCACACAAGGGGCGGCTGGACAGCGCAAAGGATATGCAATGCGCGCGACGAGGCGCTTCGAACGCACCCAAGCGTTCACCGCCACGGCCGTTGCGACGGACACGCACCAACAGCTGCGCGCACACAAACAGCTGCCTACACATGCGCGCATGGGAGAGCGCCCCAACTCCAAGGGCTTCTCCAGTCGTGTGATGCCTAACCACCGCGCAGCAGACTCAAGCGAGCCACAACCCCCACCTGCAGGGCCAGAATGTCCCGGGAAGCTGTGGGGTCGAGGGTGGAGCCCGTCTGGTGGTACAGCGCCATCAGTATCAAAATGACGCACGTGTTGACCAAGCCGCCCATGCCCTGTTGATATCAGGCAATCATTACAAATTTGAAGGGTAACACGTGTGTGTGTGTGTGTGTGTGTGTGTGTTTTTGGAAGCCGAGAGGCTGCAAGTAGTGTTTGAGCGGATCGCCGCATTCAGGGGCAAGCCTGGCCTGGCCCCTCGTTTCTCGCATGCTGCCAGGGACTGGCGCAGGCGGCATGCCCTCCTGTCAGTGCACCATCGGCTGTCCAGCCGCCAGCGCTCCCAGCAAAACAAATCGTGTGTGAGTCCAGCCCCTCCGCCGAGCAGCGGGAAGGCATCGAATGCGTCAGCGGACGCTTTCGCGGCGCGGGCGCGCCTGCTGCGAGTAGGTGAGCACCATCTGCTGGCCCCGCCTGGCGCGCAGCTTGGTGCTGGCCTGTGAGCGCTCCACCGCTGAGCTGGACATCATGGGGTACTGTTTTTTTGGGGGGTTGGGGGTTGTGGATTGGCGGTTGCGAGGTTTGGTTGCGGGTTGTTGAGGTCGGGAGGGGGTTGGCT